GTGTAAAAAACGAAAAAAGTTTAGAATACGAGTAATGTGCACCCGCTCCTGCCTCCGTAGTTTTGCTAGCTTCAGAGCGCACAATGATTATTTTCTTGTCAGGCTTTCATATTGAATGAATTGGCTATCTAGGCAATTTTATCGACAAACAAATATTTATTTGAGTTTTATTTATTTTTTGAAGTCCAAGGTTGTTCTTTCATCTAAGTTATACATCTGATTTTTCGGCAAAAAAATTAATTTTCTTTAGTGGACTGATGTACTCATTGGTATAGTGCTATCAAAATAACAAGGGTGGCTCTTGCACAAAATGTTGCGAAAAAAAATGCAAAAGTATAAAATTTGCCAATTTACAACATCAACAAGGGGCGCTCAGCCCCCTGGCCCCCTAGCACTACACCACTGGGTGTATAGTGTTGTCAACAATTGTTGGCTGCCTACAAAATATCTTGTTAAACTTTTGATCCATAACTCGATATAAATTTGAATTTTACTTACAAATCATTCTAAAAATTCTCATTTCCCAAGTTGTTTGCCGCCTTATAAGCTAGATTAAAATCTTCTAACACATGCTTAAATCTGTTTATATTTTGCAAATGAATTCACAGCTCTGAAGGAAACCTCGATCAACCCAATGACGAAGTCATGACGTCACATTTGGATGCAGATGGCATAACAAGGGAGTACAAGGCATCGGCATGTAAGAGTATGCTAAGATTAGAAGAAAACGTTCAAAAGCATTATCCTCTTCTTTTTGTTCCAGCAATTGGATTGAGTTTGTGGTGTGGAATTGTGGGATAACAGGGAAAATAGGAGACTGTATTCATTTGCCAATGACTTGCTTAAAGTAGATCTAGCCCTCCTGGTTATCAGCGTAATTTATAATAGTGACATTATCAATGACAATTTACCTATGAAAAATGCAAACATTTTATAACATATTGGCTAAAAGCTGTTTCGTCTGACACTCCTCAGAGCATAAAACGTCAGAATAAGGGTCCGATATTTTCATAAATATTTCATAGTCTTGGGAAAACGTTTTAGTTTGTGTTCTGAACATCCCAACGTAAACCCATGTGTAACAATTTCTTATATTTATGACTTTCCTGAATAAAAAATTGACTAATTGAAAAGTCAGTAAAATTGGATTCACTTTTTCTTTGATTGAATATGTTTAGTAACCTGAAGTGCCCGATTTTGAAACTGATAATTTTGATATCCTCAAAATCGAAAGCCATTGCATCATACTTGAACATCAATTTATAAAACTGATTTCGCATTTCGTTTATAATGGTCATTTGTAGTGTTATGTAACGATGTAATGCGATGGCCAATAAACAAGAACATGTTAAAGCAAACCCTTGTTTCAGATTCCAAAGCGTATCATCTTAGGAAACAGTAGCATTTTTAGATTCGCATTTCTTTTTAGTTTGGAATAACACTATCACTGCCAACCTACAGAATCTTAAGAACAGCACAAGTGAGGTATTGTGGCCTAGAGATTCTCTATTTCGGTGAGTAAACCCTCGTGTCTATGAAGTTCGCAAAAAGTAAGGAGAAGTTGTGAAGTTGAAGGAGAAAACAGTTTGCATTTTACGAGTTGAATTTCATCGTTTTTCTCCCTCATGGTAATGCCGAAATCTGTTTCTTAATTCAGAGCCCACGCCACTGGGGAGAGGGAGTGGTGTGGCCATGCCCCCCCCCCCACTTTTTTGCGAAACAAGTAGTTTTAAAGCTGCAGTAAAAGGGGAAAGGAGCCTTGGCCCCCCACTTTCAAATTCGTGGCGTGGACCTTGTAATTAGCTGCCTTTTCAGTTGATAATCAAACAGGATTTTTATTTTGGATATAATGCTAACTGATATTTTTTGATACTTTAATAAGGCTGCCGGTACACTACAAGATCTTCTTGAAAAGGTGTCTCCAAACATCGAAAAAAAAGCCCATTTATTACATGGAAAGGCGCTTAACAGTAGAACGTCAAATACCCTCTTAAAAGTCTCTGATTTTGTGGATTTGTTTAATATAAAGCTCAGTTGCAAACTGAAAAAATTTCTCCCTATAAGTGCCACAGCACGCCTGAGAAGGACGTAAAAGCAGCTTTCTGTAAAGTCATCTTTCGTGTTTACTAGAAGAATTTCAAAAGCAGATGTCAAAAAAGGTCACTTGACATCGTGGCAAACGAGATAGATTAAGGTTATGATTTCGTGAACAAATCGTTTGTCATCAATCATTTGGCAACTTAATTTATACATTTGGATACTTAAATTGTCGCAAACGTAACCAAAGCTTCAAAAACACCCGAGTTTTGGCCTAACCATAATATGAACTTCTGAAGAGCAAAGTTCATTTAGAATTCTTTATATTTATATGACATGGATGTGTGGAAATTTGATTTCCAAACTGGAAAGTGTATCACGTGCTTAATAGACATTAATCTATTCCACCTCAGTCTAATTACATTAATCTAAGCTTAGCTAAGATATTTTAATAAAATTTCAACGAGCTACAGCTAAAATTTGTTTTAACTAAATATGTCTTGTTATTGCTTCAATTTAAAAACAGTCAGTTCAAACGATATTCAATTTATTTTAAATCGAAACTTTATCTCAAATTTTATCATCTATATAGCTTTCATATCTTTCTGTTCAACAAACAACTTTTCACAGATTACATTTAACGGGAAACAGCCTCGTGTGTCTTACTGAATTCGCCTCATTCACCTCTCAGTATTTCTTTTATCATTATTATTGGTTTTGTTATTATATTTCGTTTTACTGTATATAAAAAATTTTATGGATTTATGTATTAGTAATTTTCAATACTGCACTCAGAATAATTGCTATTTTTACTTAGGTATTTCCAGTTAATGGAAACACTGCAAGATAATCTTGCTGAAAGAAGCCAGCTCCAGAAACTTGCAGGTTTGTGTTCAATTAATTAAATAAAGTTTGTTTTACTTCCTTTGTATTATGCTGGCGAAAATTTGCTAATCAGCCATTTTGGTTGCCAATGGTTATTAGGAGAAGACGAAAGGAGGGTAGGTTTTTCTAGAATTCATAAGAAAAATCTGTTTTTATGAAACACTCTGGTAATGTCCATTTGCGTATTTTGGTTGCAGTAGGTGAATATTGCGTTCAAAAATTCACAAAGCGAAGGAAATCGTTCTTGTGTTCAGAAAGTACCTTCAGAAATTTTCTTCAGTTTTGGCAATTTTAAGTATTGCATTCGCCCTTTGCCTCCATCTGAAATTCCTTTTTTAAGTTTTATTAAGCTACTGTCTTTATTAAGTTTTAAGTCTTCATAATCATGGATAGCAGACCTGCTTATAATTTTCAATAGTTCAATGTCTTCGAAGATTTTGTTACAACGTTGAAATCGTTTCTTCTCGTGAGATTAGATAAAATGACATTTGCAATAAGGTTACAGCTGGTCTGGTTTCGCCATAGTTCTTGCTCATTTCGACGTCCAATTTTCATTTAGTTTACACGTTCATTATACTTTTACTTAATGAAAAGGTAGGCATACTTAATTTTACTTAGGTAGTAGTTGTTAAGAAGGAACAAAACAATGAATTGAATTTTCCTTGTCTGTGATCAAAGATTTAATAAATGCTTCAGAAAAGCATCCCTGACTACCCCAACAGGAAACGGGTAGTGAAAAGATTTACTCGTAGCTTAGGCCTCTCTCAGCCTGTTTAAATATTTTCTATTCTCCGCTAATATCCTTTGAAGCAAATATGTGCAAGTGACACTGTCACTTTGATTATACAGTTGTGGCGCTCAACCAAATGCAAGATGGGAAAATGAGATGACAAGCCTCCGAGGTTCAAAATTCGAAAAACTTGCTCGTTTGGCTTGGTTTAAAAAGTTGAAATGTTATTAAACAAGATTTCCTAAATTGATTCATGAAACTTTTAAATTTATTGAAAATAATATTAATATTAGGTAAAGAATACCTTTAACTCTAAAAGCTCTGTTATTTACAGAAATGTGTAAATGTTCAATGATCTTGCGCGCTAATACAAATTTCTCTCTTACTTTATTTTACTTCAGTATCAAAGCTTACCAGCAACAGCAACATAAAATGTAACAAATATAGAAACCAATCGCTTACAATCAAGGATCAACAACAACAGCAACAATTCAAAAAGTAAAAATCAATTAGCTTAGACGCAACAGCAACAACAGCAGAAAACCCATTATTTGCAAGCTACAGCAGCAACAACAAAATTGCAAAAAATAAAAATACATTAGTTTACAAGCAACAGCAACAGAAAATGTAAACAAAATTAAAAGCAGCAACGAATACAATTATTGAGACAATTTTTGATAAAACATTAAGACAAAAAATTTAAAACAAAACATTAGCAAGCGGCACAGAAGGTCCAATTCTTTCCTCGTTTCTATTTGTCCAGTTCACAAGCCTGCTAGTTCCCCGTAACGTTCCAGTTAACAACTGACACTTTTTACTTACCACAAAATCTGCAGCTAGCAGGGAAAATCAAGAAAGTTTTTGTGTATCTCAACCAACTCTCTGTGTTTTCCATATCACTTACCCATACTGTGACCATATCCATCAAGTTTTAAAAATGGCCTTATTTCTTTGGGATCCCAATTGAATGATGGGATCCCAGTTTGCTACACAACGAGCAGGGTTAACTTTCGTTACCCTAAACGACAGAAATGAAGACAAATCTTAAATATTCAATTTCTCAAAATATCAGAATCTGGTTGTACCTTCAAATCAATGAAAAAGTTAGTTGAGCAGTACAATTATTACCAGCCTGTAGCCACGCGACAACTGCTAACAAATGTTAACAAACACATGTACACAAATCATAGATAGAAAAATAATTAACGATTTAAATTAAACTAACAAATATCTAACTTGCTTTCTTAACATTCCTTGACCATTTGATTTTCCTTCATAAACAAATTCTGCATGATTTTACCGCCCAGCCGCCATAGAACTTCCAGAATACAAGACACGATAAAATAAATCCGGCAATTGCCTGATAATCATCTGCAAATTAACTTACTTTAAAATATAATGTTTACGATGACAAAATACAAAATACGTTTAATATGTGATCACAAACTGGACGGTCAAGCAACTAGAATAAAAGCTGTTTGTTTGTTAAGTGTATTTAAACAGAAAATACTAAGCCGGCGGGTAGAAACCTTAACAGTAATGTTAAACAGAATAGAAAATAATATACCAACACCATATTAATTTTGCCCCTAAATTCTGAAATGATTGCAGCTTGTCAAGGCTTGTCCTCTTTTAGAAGTTTTAAAATTCTTCATTGACGATTTCTTATAAATGCTTATTTAGAAAACAAACTACACAGAATAAGATTACAGTGTAATTTGAATTCACACGGGAGAAAATTTGCAATTAAAAGCTGATTCTAGAAATCCAAAGGGAATATGGAAACAAAATAAAATTCTAGCAGAATTATCCTGGGAAATAGGCATTATCTTCAGGTATGCACAATAACATAGAATTCTAGAAGATTAGAAGTTCTAGACTCTCCAGAATTCGAACTACGTTCGTCAAAGATTTTACAACTTGCACATTGTTTCATGCACAGTTAAAACTTCTTTATTCAACCAAAAATAAAACACATTTACTTTAACTTCTCTAAGTAGAGTTTCCTAAGAATTTTCTTTCATTAAACAATCAGTCATAACCATTGACAGAAATTGAAGTCTTAAGCTTTCATTCGATGCGAAGTGCCTTTAACATCTTCTGTTTACATTGATATTGTTGTCGTTTCAAAGTCGATTACAACTTTACCGTTGAATTCTTCTATCAGCTTACAATATAATTAAAGTAGTACTTCAATTTCTCTTAAAATTCGAATACTGGAGGGCCTGTTGAATTATCTTGCTGGTATTTATAAAAAACTGGAACGTAATATTATCTACAAACTTGCATTATCGAATACAATGTGACGGGCTTTCGCGATATGACTAATTTTTTTAATTGATGCTAAATTAACTAAGCCGATTAACTTGCTTGTTCATTAGGTTGGTTATATAAGCTACTAAATCAAAAATATTTATTATCAATTAACACTAGCGAGAAACAAACTTCTTCGAGCGCATTTCTACATATTTGTATGCTGAGATTGTGTTTAATCATTATTATTTCAAAGGAACCACGACATCCACATAGTTGACAGGGAAAAAGCCGCTCTCTCCATTCACAGTGCCTTCGTACCAGTTCTCGTCAATTTGGCCAGTTAGCATGATCATATCACCCTCTCTGAAGCTTAATTCTCCTTCGTTTTCTGCAAAAAATAATTGAATAATAAACATTTTCTGAAAGTAGGAGTAATGAAAATTACAGTTTACCACTCTGTCATAAATTGCTTGATAACGTATAGGCAGAGCTGTACACTCTTCTGGTGTATCAAACAGGACGGTCCTAAGTTGCTAATCTGAGTTTTACGCTTAATGCGATCACCAGGCAGGCAACGTCGGTGGAGCAACGACGTTCATGTTTACTGGACGCGGGTTCGAGTCTTACCTTGGTCGTGTGACTCGCCCACACGTTCTCTCGCAATATATTTTGTCATATCCTGTTCTGCACAAATGATTTAAAACCATCAACCAAAGTAGCTTTGTTTTATGCCGCAGATAACCGCTATTATCAGGGGGAGTTGCCGCTTTACTTACGAGTGGCTCGACCTAGATGTCGATTAAAGAATCGACTAGTCCAGAACGATTGAAGAAAGATTGAATGACTGCTGTTGACTAACAGTTTGACTTCGGCCAATAAGCGATTTCACAGTTTTTGCCGCCATTATGAATTGGCAAAAATGGCGGACACGCAGCAAACGAGCAAATTACCGCAAAATTTCCAGTCAATTTTGTAGCTAGAATTGCTGATAAAATTAGGAAGTAATCAGCTAAATTAGAATTTAAATGTCCTTTTTTTACAATTAGCATCTCACAAACAGCGTTCCTTGTTGTTTTCCTTGTGATTTCACTGCTGACTTTGACCAGGCTGAAATCAGTCCCCTTTGACCTCTCGTACAAAAACTTCCGCTTTTCGATTCAAACCTTAGCGAAATTTGTTATTTCTAGCCTGTTTACAACCATCTTGAGTTGGACTCTCTTCAGAAATTCATTTGACGTCAATAAAACCTGTACGAGGTATCAAAACATCGTGACCAATTCTATGATCGTGACGCATGTTATTGACGGAGGATTCCCCTATATGGCATGAGAGGCATATATGCTAGGACAGGTTTTATTGACGTCAAATGAATTTCTGAAGAGATTCCAACTCAAGATGGTTGTAAACAGGCTAGAAATAACAAATTTCGCTAAGGTTTGAATCGAAAAGCGAAAGTTTTTGTACAAGAGGTCAAAGGGGACTGATTTCAGCCTGGTCAAAGTCAGCAGTGAAATCAAAAGGAAAACAACAAGGAACGATGTTTCTGAGTTGCTAATTGTAAAAAGGAACAATTTAGCTGATTACTTCCTAATTCTATCAGCAACTTTAGCTTCAAAATTGACTGGAAATTTTGCGGTAATTTGCTCGTTTGCTGCATGTCCGCCATTTTTGCCAATTCATAATGGCGACAAAAACTGTGAAATTGCTAATTATATTCATTATCACAACTTTGCAAGTAGGCATGCTACCAAAAATGGCGATTTTTGCTAATAGTGATACGGCAACTCGGAATAAAGAGCTTTTTTCGAGTGTAACTACGCAAAGAAAAGTATAAGAAACCAACCCTTGTCGAAGTCGTACAAAGCTCTTGCTTGGGGCTTCTGCGAAGGCGGGTTCGCCGGCGGTCTTGACACTGGCGGCGAAATGCTAATCGGCGTGCTGAAATTGACTTGATCACTGCTTGAATCGCTGCTACCGTCATCGTAGCTTGATTTGCTGAAGGTTTTGCGCTCAGCCTTAGGCCGACTGGCGGCGATGGTCATTCTAGAAAAAAGACACAATTTCAGTTTGCCAAATTCAGCAGGTTTAAAATGTTGACAAAATAACGATTTTAAAGCTAGCATCAACAATAAACTATTATGAATGTTAAACAGCCAAGCAACAACTGTCTATTTTAGCAAAGAATCTCACGAACAAGGATCAAATCAATTTGTATATCTCAAATCAATTCACACAATTCTTCCTCGATTGAATCTCAAACTGTTTTTCGCTGCTTTATAGTATAGTTGGGTCACGTTAAGTCGGTCCTTCAATCGGACAAGCTTCATTGACCGGATTTCAAAAGTGCAGCACTAAAGCAAAGAGCGGGTAGGCAGTACTGTTTTGCTGTAAACCATATCACACAAAATACAAAATGAAATGTAGATTCTTTTTATTATCAAAGAAAAACCCAAAGCCATAGCAGGGGGCTCGTTTAAAAAGAGGTTTGCTAAGCAAAGGATTTGCCCCACCAAAGATACCCTTGTTAGAGGGTGGTGTTGAGCACCCCAAATCACTTTTCAGTTTCCACTTTTTCATTTTTTCAGTTTCCACTCAATGCTACCCTATCAAAATTAGCAGGTAGCGGAAAAAATGCACGAACTATTGTGGGAAACCAAGATACACAAACAAGATACATTCAGACTGTTTTACCCCTACGGTAATTAGACTACAAACATCTGTACAAGATAATATCATGTATAAACAAAACGTTTCTTGACGTTCTTCTTAAAAATGATCCAACTTACTGGTCACTGAGCTGCGAAACCAGGTCGTCACAGACTTCAAAGCATTGCTTGTAGTAATCCCTCATTGCATCCGCGAAGGCATGTACTTCCCCAATGTGTTCTACCTAAAAGACAGATGTAAATATATTAATGATGGATGGCAATGATGCTAATAACAAAGGTTAAATCAAACACGGATTGCCTACAGGGGCGGATCCAGAGCAAATTTGAAGGAGGGGCAGTTGGTAATGGGGGGGGGGGTGATGTCGCTGAGAATTTTCAAAAATTGATGACAAGAGTACGCTGTATACAACAATTTCAGATCCATTTTCAGAATAAACAGAATAACTTTGAGGTAATCCTTGAATCAAATTAACCTATCGGTCTCAAAAACCTTTTCACCTGATTTCCATTCTTCAAAAGGGGCGCACAATTTAAAAAGAAGGGGGCGCCAGATTTGCTTCAACTCGTCGAGGGAGGGGCAACTGCCCCTAGCTGCCCCCCCCCCCTTAAATCCGCCACTGGTTGCCTATCTTTATTGCAATTATAAGATTATTGACGCCCTTGTAAGCAATCTACACGTATGATGTCAATCAAAGCTAACATATTACGGACGACATTGGAAAAGATAAACTTGATTGTGACTTCACCAATCAATAGTCTTTTAAATCACACTAATGCTCGATTAAATATTTTCCAAGATTTGGCAATGTTCACTTAACTACCAGATATGTGTAGAAAATGCTGATTTTAAACATGATTGTGCTAAAACAGTATTTCATCCGAAGATCACACATCCTTTTAAGGTGTGAAAAAGAGATTAACGAAATGCCTCGAACAAGCGCCCTTCTCAAATAAGAGCCCCCTTGAATAAGCGCCCATCCTTCAACCTACAGAAATGGGCGCTTATTCGAATTTCCAACGAAAACATAATTGGAAAGCAATTCAACACGAAAGATTAATGAAGAACACAATTTGTACCCAAATCTACTTTTTGAATAAGCGCCCCCGTCGATTAAGCGCCTCCTTCGAATAAGCGTCCATCCTGGAGCCTCAAAAATTAAATAGGCGCCCGGGGGCCTTTTCGAGGCATTATGGTAAATGCCTTTGATGAGCAAGGAAATCGTGTGATATGAAGAGGGTATTTTCTTACGTCACTGTCCATAAGATTCATCATGCTACTGTAACACAATTCTTTTGATTCTTCGAATTTCTCTTCTGCTATTCTCAGTTCTTCTTTTGTTACTGAAATAATGATTACAGTCTGCATTAAAGGCACACCATCATGCTGTTTATTGGTTTATCGAAACAATGATAATTATCTACCAAACCAATAGAATTGCTCTACAAAAACAATAGCATTTGTCTATCAGCATAAAACAATGCGATACGATTGCTGAATGTTGCTTTACATCCAAATTCAACTCACGAAAGACCAATGAGGAATGAAATATGACGTCAAGACGTTGGTTTTCATACGTTGGTTTTTGTGTATACATAAAATTTGATGTTTCAGTATTGAGCATTGTCAAAAGCAGAGCTCCTTGGTGAAAGATGGATGAATATAATCCTGGAACAGAATAACTGTCCATACATCTTCAGGTATAGTAAATCCTCGAATAAGCTTCATGAGGGCTGATTAATTTAGGCACCTTTTAGAGAGGGGGTTTATACAAGGGGGTTCTGCTGTATCTCGATTAAGCCTCCAGGGTAGCTTATTAATAATTTTCCTTCCAGAGGGTTTAGTTAGGAGGAGCTTTGGAGATTTGTTAAGACCACATACCCTTGTCTCCTTTCTTTTTCTTGTAATCATAGTCAAGTCGTCGACCAGAGAGTTTCTTCCTGTGATGCTATACGAATTGAGTGATTGTTTTGTCAATCGCAGAATCACAAACACAATAAACATTGCTTCAGACAAGCACCCATTACTACTGAAAGGTTCTGGGCAAAAGAAAGATCTAAGGTCTCTCTGATTTGCTTTTTTCATTAGTTTAGGCTCCTCTTAGCTTGCCAAAATAAAATTTGAATCCTTCCATTCTTCCATTTTATAGTGCAGTCATGGTGCTCAACGAAATGCATGATTGGAAAATAAAATGACAAAATGAAATGATAAGCCTCAAAAGTTCAACTTTCTACAGTTCAGAAATCATAATCAGAGACACAGTCTATTAGCTAATAAATTAAACTTGCCGATAAAATAGGCCTATCCTTCTAAAATTAAAGAGACAATTAAAACTCATTATATCAATTAGCAAATATTACCATGATTTCTTTAAGATCTTTGTTCTGCAGTTGTTCTAAAGGATCCAGAAAGTTCTGTTTCACATTCATTTCCTGTCAAATAGTACAAATAAAGAGATGTGAATGCAAATGCAAAAATCATGTAAATTTTAAAATAATTAATTAAGTAATGACCAAACATGTATAATCTTTTTTTCCTAAACATTTTTTAGCCATAACAAGCAATTATCTTCAAAAGCTTTTGGAGTAAACTATTTAGATTACATAAATATTGAGCATTGAAAACTACCTACAGCTTGTAAAGTAGTTTGTTTGTAAATCAAAATTGACCGATCAATACATATTTTTATTGATTGGTCAATGGTTGCTTGGTCAGATCACTAAAACCACTGTGGTAACTTTCTATTGCCTTATGAAGTTAGATATGCATTGCTTGGTAATGGGAACATGAATGTGACATTGTTTATTGAGAAGGCACTGATCAAAGTAGAAAGGAGGGTACTTTTTGTAAAGGTACTCACCAAAGAATCTTTTATTTCAGCCATGTTTGAGAAAGCCTCACCCATTCTTAATGCAGCGGTAGCTATGGGAAAAATCAACTTTTAGAATAACAAAACTAATGATGTATATACATGTTTGTGGATCTAGACATCCAATCAAGTTAGAAGTTGAATGACATTTGACACAGTATGTAATGATTTACATTTGAATATGACAAAGTCAAAGTGGAGGCTCTGGCGATCAGTTATTTCCTTAAAGTTTAAAAACAAACACAAGGAACTTTCTCTCATCTCAAGCAAAACATTGAAACAACAACTTTGTATTCTTTGCACAGAAGATTCAAATCTTGATTACGTATTTCCATATATTGGAACAAATTTCAAATGTCTTACCAAAAGGTGAGTCTTCTCCAATGTCAGTCCCTGCTTTTGTTAACACATCAGATAAAATGTTTTCAGGTTGGGTATATTTTACATTCTCTCCTCTTGCTTGTCCCCGAGCCTTAAGTACTGCAGTCTGGAAATTTAGTTTTGTTCTTGCAGCTAGAAAGAATTTCAAGATTAATTATTTTTGTTCAATCAAGAATGCCAAATCAAAATTAAATGCAACACAGAAACATTATAATTCATTAACCTGTCCATATTTTTTCTGTTACTATATTTTCTTAAAAACAATATTTTCGTGGTACAAATTTAAAAATGGTTAACATCTAGAAATTTTAATCTATGTTTTGATGTTTTTTATTCAGAAGTGTGTCAGAGAAAAAATATAATTATGATTCAAAATCTTTTTTTTCAAAGCCTATTTTAAATTTCTTTTTCATGTTTTACATTTGAACATTCAAAGTTATATAAACCGTTAGAAGTTTTATTAAATTGTGGGTGATCAGTAAAATGCTTTAAAATGACTTGGAACATTGGGAGCATTGTTTCATTGCCAACTTTCTTAAAATACATTTGTCATTGGTACCTCCTTAAAATGCACTACCTTTATAACACCAAATTACTGTGACAAAAAGTAAATAGTAATTTGCATTTCATAACAGAGAGCCAAGTGGACTGAACATCTTGAAATATCGGCTAAGAATTTCTAATCAGCTATCTGTGCTGAATACAAAGCGGGATTAATATAAGACGCTGTGGCTAAATGGCAAATAGGTTGGGGGATATCAATTTCTAGCTTATACTAAAGTCACACTTTGCTTTTTTAATCTCATGTATCAAAGATTTAACCTGGATTTGGTTGTAAAAATTCCTTGGTTTTATGTTGTAGCTGATCAACAAAGTGATTGTATACATCTGTTTTCTGCAAAAAACATTAATGTGAATATTATTAACTTCAAAATTATCAACTTTTAAAAAATTATCAACTTCCAATGGAAAAAACCATTTGATGCAAGACAAATGATATATTAAAGATCTGTTTTGTCAAAACATTCACCAGCAGTGGAGAAATTCAAGCTTTCATTTGGGGTGGGCACAATTTTCTAACAAGACAAAATTTTAGATGGGCTTTCAACACATTAAAATTTTTTCACTTATCCAAGAAAACCCAAATTTTCTGATGAGAAAGATGTTTGGGGGGGGCAGGGGGCTAACACATTTAAGCATGAAAAAACGTGTTGCAAAATGACATATTATCTTTTAAAAATTTATCAAAACATCCTCACATGGTGAGGAAAGTTTTTTTGAAAAAGTAAGGCCTATGATGGTCTTGTTGAAAATCCTTGTAGATCCTTAAATTGTTTTCAAATCACCAAAATTTTATACTTGAGAAATGCCCACATGTATGCAATATTTTGGCCTGTGTATGAAATCAGAGCTACTCAGAAAAAACATTTTCAAAATCAAAAACAAATTAAAACAAAAAACAAAAAAGACCTACCCTTTCTAATTCAATAAAATCTTCTTCTAATTGTGATCCTTTGCCACTACCTAATTTCTCACTCATATACTGAAAAGAAAGTTAGATTTAAAGTAAACAGAAATGTTTTTAATGAAAATTTTAATGCTTATAATTTTTCTGATCTCACTATAACTTTAGATCAATGGTAATTTGGCATTTGGGACAACTTTAGTATTCAGTACACCAAACTGCAAAATGATTGAAAATTGTCATGGAAGCAAAAAACCCTCACATCAAAAACCATACCAAAGGGTGAACTAAGGATTAGACAAGCTGTTACTGTATATAAATTTGTGATTTTATTATCTGCATTGACAAATCTAACTAGGCATTCAGAATCTCAAGCAAAAAGAAAGAGTTCGATATTAGAAACAAACTGATAGATAACCAGAATTTAAGAAAGAATTGTGTAATTTTACTGTGGATTTGGTTGTGTTTCTGCAGTTCTGGTTTCTATTTTTAATTCATCACAGTGGGATTAAAACACCAAGGACTGCCTAATATCACAGTGAAAGCACTAAATTAAACAATAAAATTAGATTTTTATCCTTTGGAAAATAAACCAGTAGGGTGTGTGTTGGGCATCTGGTTTACCTGAATCCATTAAGGCTTTGTCAAAGAGAAAACCTGGTGGTTTATTGAACAGCTATTTGGACAGATAATAGAGCTTTAGAGAAATAATAAGACAGACAAATGGTTTGATTAAAAGGATTCAAATCAATTTACTTTGCAGTGAATTCTAGTCAGACTGAGGGAAACTAACCAAAAAAGGTTGCTTATTTGGTTATTTATAGTGTTTCTGGCATGATACAATGTTTAATAATGGAAGAAAGTAATTTTAAGGCCTACAAAATGTCCCCTTATTGCAAGACGCTCAAGACTTTTAAAGATAGGTTGAGAACATAGAGAACATTGGTTTTTAGCAAGAAAACATAGCTGTTGCAAAGTGTTATTATCTCAAATTTGAACTTGTTCATACTATAAGAAACAAATTAACAAATTGGCAGAAGCGGGGGTTGAAACCGGAATGAAAGAAGGCTCCAACAAAAAGGGTAAAACTAAAACCACTCGTAAGTTGCTTTTGGCAACCTTGCAGTATTAAAATGACATCATTGGCAAGCAGCCATCTTTAATTGGAGTCAGCAGGAGCCATGCGACCACAATTTCAAGTTTCCGTTTAGTTCTATCCAAAGCCCAATTTTTCGTAAATTTAGGAAGTTACTCATTGCTTTCGGAATTCAGGAAGTGGGGTACCCGTTTGACAAAGTTATTGTATCAGGCTATCGTTTATAAACAACGTCAGGGATTGATCTAGCTAATCTATCGGAATTATTTCCAATTTTAGGGTCTGATGAGAAGACACCAAAATTAGAATTAAAGAACCAAGATAAGAAATTTTTGTGCAAACAATATATTTGGGGAAAAATGAATACTCAAAACAAATTCAAAAGCGTAATTCAATCGTTTTGACAAGTATTTGAGTTGGGCAAACAAAAGCTCTGCAAACTCTTCAGAAATTGATTAAATGACTTTGATACATTGCTATACTGAATTTAAGTTTACAATTTGCTATGTCAGCTCATTGCAAATAAGATTATCCAGCGAGTTCTTACCGACTGATTAATTAAATGGTAGTAAAGACGAGTGGGATGGTAGTAGAATGCCCCGAAACAAGGCTTTTCGACTTTGCATAAGTTGTCCAAAGTCTAAATCTAAACAACAGTCGTGTTACATCTTATATTTGGATATAAACACAAGATTTATGTTTCGTGCAAGAAGTTGTGCAGGAGGCATTTAGTAGGCCATATTGCAGCATTTACACAGTATGAGCATGTAAGAGCATGTCGAATTTAATCGCATGCTTTGGATCACGCTCTATTTCAGAAACAAAAAGTTTAAAGAATATCCTTTCATACCTGGTTTGCTTTATTGAATTGCTTTTTAAGTCCTGCAAAAGACATGATTGACAATTTTTATGGCACTTGATAACAGAGTTTCTGCTATACGTGAATTCGTTCCGCCAACTCAGAACCGAAATGTCAAGAAATGTGTCATACACTTCAAGCATGTAGTGTTGTTGATGCTTCCTTGTCTAATTATTATTAGCAATTTTTTAACGAAATTATTTTCATTGCATTTTGTATTTGAGCAGCTTTGACTGCAAGGATAAACACTGGGATATAATTTAATTTAAGTTTAAATAGCTTGCCTGGTAAAATGGAAATTAATCAGACTCGGAAATGGTTCGTTTTATCGTGAGTAATATGACATATAAAGGCATGATGAATTGTCACTATTGTCCGACATCGAATTCTTTTGCACAACATATGAACAAAAACGTATACTAAACAAGCGCAAGCAAATCAATGCTAACGATTGTTCTTTATCTCAAATATCCTCCAGCTAAAAACCATTGATTTCAGCCTGTGGGTTTATTTCTCTGACATTAATATTTCGTCAGAGGTGCAAATTAGAGGGGTGTGGGGTATGGGGGGTGTGACACCCCCAATATGTTTAGCCAGTCGGTCCCAGACAAAATAACTGTGAAAAGTAGGTCTTTTCTACGGCTCTGGGACTGGGTAGGAACATTATGGCAGGATAGATTATTGGTCTATTGACTAACCTTCACACAAACGACTTATACTATTGTTACGTACATGTTTTCAAAAAGGAAGACAGGGCCGGCGAAACGTATTTGAAAGTGGAGGGGCCAAATTATCAAAGTCTTGAAAGGGCTTAGGAAAGGCCGCCACCACAGCTTGGTTGGCGGCAAGGAAAATTTTAGAATTATGGTGTCTTAGGGATGGCCAGAAACTGTATCTAAATGGATTTTGACTGAAGGTGTCGCATAGTCGCGTCTATTGTGATGTTGACTTGAAATAGAAAAGTTTTGCAAAGTTAGAATAATCATTAAAATATAGCTCATAATGTAACCTTTTTTTAGATTTTAAAATTACCCGAAATAAGATGAGGGGAAAAAATAAATGGAACACAGATTAATTAAAAACATTAACGTTGGAATATCAACAGAAGAACTATCAACTAAAAATAAAAAGTTAAGCAGTTTTGTACAGCTAAGACATAACTTTGTAACATCTGATCTTAACTTTTCGGAGATTAAATGCTTTAACAAAAATTAGAAAAACCTTCAAACTGGGCTTGTCAAAATGAGTTTAAATAGAATTTATAATTGTGTCGATATATTCTTTTTCTTAGTAGGAATGGATTTCCAAACGATCAAACTCTGAAGTTTTCTTGATGATACTTTTTAAGAACAAATCTGCCTATACTTTATTTCTCATATCCTCAAAAAAGTTCTTTCCAGCTGTTTCTTTTCCTTCAACAGCTGATTTTTCTCTTTTTTAATGTTTCTGAGAAAGTTTTTGCTAACAAATAGACCTTGTGTGCCAAGTTTAGGCAATGGAAAAAACGAAACTCCGTCAATTTGTGCTGGCACCAAATTATTCAGGTCAAGATTTCTCTATCTATTTGCTAAGCCAAGCTGTCATTCTTTGAAAAACTTAAACAATGACCGATTTCTTCGATCTAATTCCTATATTCAATTTTATGTATGTCTTCTATGGTGAAGACATAGCAACCAAAGTAAAGCTAAGGATATATTTAAGAGAATACTAGGCAAAGTTACTTACAGAATCAAACACTGCATTTGTTTTCACTTTTGCCTAAAATTTTTCTTTAGCTCTGCAGAAAAGGGGGGGGCATTTCCCTGGAAGAAGTGTACCCTAGCTCACACAAAGGTCCATACTTCATCCAGTGTCCTTAGCCCTCCCCCTCCCCCCCCACCCCCTAAAGTACTAAATGCCTACAACAGTTCTCCATTTCACCTAAATGCCAAGAAAACGAATCACCCATTCTACCACAGCGCGAGGTCTCTTGTCATTTCCTCAAACATACTCTTTATCCCCTCTTTATACATTTCTATTTTGGTTTTGAAGAGTCGGTCCATTTCGTATGCGACAGTGGGGTGAAGGGGGCAGGGCAAGGCCTCTTCCTAAAAAACTTTTTGTAATTAATCATGTTTTCCCCTCCCCCCCCCCCCCTTCCGGTTATATTCATACAAATGTTCAGTTTAACGAGAAGCCATACAGAAATCAATGAATTGAATTGGCCAATATCTTTATCACTTGAAAATTTGGCAGATTTGGCACATTTGAGATCACAGACCCACTGTATCTTGAAATTTATGCCCTTAACTAAATATATTGGAATTGCAATGTTCCAGATTGTCATTTTACGGTGCAGTGATAATCACTTTGTGCAGTGATAAGCATGAAAAGTGTATAGTGTTAAACATGATTTTAATCATGATAGGCAACTTTCATATTGCAAGATTTTGCAGGGTTTCTGAATAAAAATCAGATATCACTTCAAAGGCGAACTGTTTTAAACTTCTTCTTGATCATCCAAATCAAAGCTATATAATAGGTATTGATAATGATTTTGTTTATTATTTTCATAAAAATAATTTTATGCAATTTTACGTCTATATTATATCAATAAAACCGTAAACACATACACATTTTATACATCGCTACATGTCGATTACAGGCCCCGAACTGCTCTACACTTTTTTTATAAGAAACTTGGATCATCACTGAACACTAAACGTTTCTTGATTTGGCATTCAAATTTTGCCATTTAAGTACTTAAAGTTTCTTTGTTCGTTCCTTATTTCGGGACCTAAAGTTGGATCATTGTTTTTAAGTTGAACATTTTGCAAAAATACAAGCGCTGATTATCAGGAAAAAACACACGCAGATCAAAATCCAACGTATTCTATCTTTTCCAAAGAAAAATCAACAAAATAAAAAACTTAACGATCTACATCATAAGTATCATTAAAAGATATATAGTCCTCGGAGCTATCTCTAAATAGACCCTGTACTTATCAACAATAGACATTTTAAAGTTTCTTCATTTTTTTCAGCATAGCACTAAAGTTTCTTCATTCTTTGCCATCCTAGTACTAGTTTCTAACGAAAAAACGTGTACCTGGTGCAGGGACGCCGGAGAGGTGGGCGCAGGGGGTCGACCGCCCCTGTCGCCTATTGATGGGAGGGGCAAGGGGGGCTAAAGCGCCCTTTTCATAGAAGTGCCCCTTTTAAAGAAGTGCCCTTGACACCGGCCTTTTGTATGAAATCCACGAGATTCATATGGAATCCTGACTGTAGCGTCTTGTTTATGACGGATTTCTCGAAACTTGTGAAGAAATTTCTTATGCTAAAAATTAGCCAATTTTTAAGATACCAACAGAAGATCGAAACAAAATGACAGCTACAAAAGAATTGTTGGTAGGTGGGAATTATTTTTCAAATGTCCTTTTGCTCAAGCCTGCCCCCTTCCCCCTTGATCGTTCCAGCGTCCCTGACCTGGTGGGTTGGCTGATGTGCTCGCAAGGACTCAAATTTAAAAAAACAACATATACTCAGGTATGTATATGATCAGCACAGATATAGGCTGATAGTAGTATATAGCAGGGAGCACCATAAGGACATCAAATTTTTGGTACTTAAACACGAGACTGAGACGAAGCTTAGCCTGAGCCCCAGACTCCAAATAGTATATTTAGTTTGGGGTCTGGAGCTCAGGCTAAACGAGGCTATGCGTCATAGTTTGCGATGGCATAATGGTGGTCGTGACTCGTCACTGGTAGTTGCGGGAAGTTGGCGGGAAAGCTATGAATAGGGTGGGTTTTTGATTGGTGGAGGTTGATTGATAGCGGGTTAAGTGAAAGAAAGGGTTGGGTTGTTGGGGTATGGGGTTGAAGGGTTGGGTGCTGTGGTTGGCGGTTTTGAGAGAGAGGACAAAAGAAAGAGAGACTGCTGTGTTTCCATCTTCTTCATTTTCATTTTTCATTGATTGAATAACTTTTTTTGTAACAAATTATAATGTTCTTCAATCATTTGATCTTTAGCTAGAATGGATTCTGTCAAATATTTTTGAACACGCTTGCTGATATAAGATTTGTGACAAGAGTATGTGTTTGTTGTTGGGAATCCCTGATTTATCCGTAAAGTCGAGCAAATAAATCCGAATTGTTATTTTGTAATGTTCTCAATTCTTCACTCAAATTTTTATTTTCTTCATTCAAATCTTTAATCTTTTTCCATAGATTTTTGTATAATACTATACGAATCCAAGCAGATATTTTCATGTTGTGCTTTTGATGTAAAAAGAAGATATTCTTCAATGTCCATCTCTACAAGAGGCAGAAAGAATGATTTTGTCCTACATAGAGGGCATACCAAAGAAAGTTGGTGTTTTAATCCGTTGCTAAAGTTTATCTTCAAATCGATTGAGCATCATAAAACAGTCGATTGAGCATCATAAAACAGTTATTGCAAATCATAAAAAGGCATTTTCCCAGAAATTAACGACGCTCTACATTTGAAGATAATTTCTCATAAGATTTCAAAGCCTATTTGGAAATTGGAAAGTCTAACTCGCTATGTTGTTGATAAGATGATCAACAAACCAAAGATGCAAAATCAAGAACGCCCCATTAAAATCACAACAAAAAAGTTTTGCATTTCATACTTTTTTATTTCAATTAAACTACGGCTTTTGTCCCTAAGGATGACAGCAACTCTCCTCCAGTTGAAGCTAGCTTAATTATTGGATATAAAATTTTGTTGAAAAAAAATCCATTCGAATTCGGTGATTTGACTGCTCGACTATGCAACGAAAATGCTAAAAGATCGAGTTCTCAGCACATTATGAAGGAATACCTGGCTATTTTAGGAAGCGAACGTTTGGAAAGAGTGCAATCCAAGTGCAATGATATGTCTCATTTAGTCATTTAGTAATTGAAAGATTTACGCAAGACTTTGGAAAAAATTGTTTCAAAACAACATTTGTCTATAACTAGAGATAGTTATTTTATTTAAAACGCCTTCATGAATATTCCTTCGGAGCAGATAGTAAATCAGCTTGTGGATAAGTCAAATGATCTAAAGGTGGTATACGACTAATATGAATCTATGATTGACAAAATTGGAAAAAAATTCACGAAAGGATGTTTTTTGGGAGAGCAGAATAGATGTATTATGTTGGCTG